TATAATTTCATTGGGAAGCCCCCACTCACACATCCAATCACTTTCCACTCAGCAAGCAAACAATATGGACATCTTCCCATAGCTTTAAATATATATCCAAAGATACCCGTCATACCTCTTCCTTTCCAGACCATAGATTGTCTGAACCCTGGGGGAGGGAGGGAGTGTTGTTTGGTTGTTTTTCTGTCTTATCTCCCCAGTGCCCTCTAAACACCCTGCAGTCTGAGTGGTTCTGCTGAAGTGGTTCTGACCAGTTAAATAGCCTACCCAGTTGGTAAGCCTTAGAGTTAAAATTCAGCAACAGGAAAGGTATGACTTCTCTCTTCTACAACAGCCAGGACTCTATATGCTTGCAGTGGTGGGGAGAAGCCACTACTGTTGGCTGGCATGAGAACAATGTTTAGTTATGTGAGGCTGGTGGGCGGCTAAGTATATATGTACCAGTGATTTGGCTGTGCTTTTATTTTCATAGGGAAGCTCTGTTTCACTCTCAATGTATCTAGAGCAAGCAAGACACCCTCTTATCCCTTATTCTCTTTGGTGGTTTCTGTATTTCTTTCCCCAATTCCAACCTCCAGACCGTGCCATTCTAGTGGGCAAAATTAGATCTCGCATCCTTGTCCCTGGTGCCCTTTTTTTTTTTCATCCCCACAAAAGGCATTCAGTGAAGGGTTGTTTTTCGAATGATTTCAGACCATCAAGCAGACACATGTCCAGTCTCATTGATGTTAGTATTGTGTGTTCAATGGATGACCAACCATATATAAAGGCACTGAACTACTTACTACACAGAGAAGCAGAGAGCAGAGCTGTGTTCAGTCTTTGTGCTGACTCAGAGCTTACCACGATCCTTGAAGCCAACACAGAAGGTCCTGGATCTCTCAGGGACATGATAAACGTGAGGTATTAATGCACACCCTAGTAGGTGTCCAAGCCTTAATTTCTCATCTATCTGTTAAAAAAAAGTAAGGATCTACCACATGCCAGATGCTATCCTAGATGTTGGAGCTTTCGGAAGCCTACAAGAAACTTAAAGAGAGTAAAAGATAGGACACTTAACTTGGAGCTCAGTAAAGGGCAGAGGAAGCACCCCACAGAGCTCGGTGAGGCCCTGTTGTACAAGATTATCCACTGAGCCAAACAACCAACATCTTCAAGAGTTCAATTGTGTCCCCTTGCAAAAAAAAAAAAAAAAAGAAAATCATTCCAGCTAGGCTAGTTGATGATTAACATCCCCTAATAGAAAAAAGGAGGGTCAGAGAGGGTCAAAGGACCCTCACCTGAGTACCCAGCTGCTCCATATGCCTTGTTGAAGGCAAGTCTACCTTAACTGCATGTCATCTTGGGTAGGAACAGGAAAGACTAGGTTTGTGGGACTCCACCTATGCAGCTTTAGGAAACCTTCATCCTTGCTGGGAAAGACTTTCTAGTGCAACCTTTTAGGGGAGAACACCCACACTCCTGTAAATAACCACTCATCTATACTCTGTAAATAAGCCCCCCCAAAACTTTGATTTCCCAAAATTTGGAGAAATCATACCTAAATTTGTCATTGGAACCTTATGAGAAAGGGAATACATAGTTTACATCTCCCCTGGGGAAGGACTTCTAACAACAGGTCCCCTCACTTGGTTCCCTAGACAACAACCATCCAGAAGTCGCTAATGGTAAAGTATAAGTATCAACTCTTTTTTTTTTTTTTTTACCATCCGGTGGTGCTGAATGGAACTCAGGTTTGTTCCAAGGGATGTCCTGGGATCCGGACACCTCTGTCAAAGCAATCATCTGATAAAAAGAGATAGCAAACTTAGGAAGAGCTGGTGAAAAAAACCTAAGACATCAGGGTACATGGCCCATCTATATCAGGGCCTAGATGCACAACAATGACCCTTAATAATCACACATACAAAACATGTTCATCATGTCTTTCAACCTTGTCAAATCAGGCATGTACTATATATACATATGTATATACATGTGTACTGTGTGTGTGTGTGTGTGAATGGTACCTTCAGAGGTCAGAAGAGGTCATTGGAGCCACCATATGGGTGTTGGAATCCAACAAGAGTAGTCAGTGCTCTTAATTTCTGATCCATATCTCTGGATATACATACATACATACATACATACATACACACACACATACATATTTCTTTAAAGATGGAGTGTTCTGTAGCCTAAGCTGGCTTTAAGCTCACCATGCAACCAAAGATAACCTTGAACTTGGGTTCCTCCTCTTTCCCTCTTTCTGAGTGTCCCACAAGTGTAATTTATGCATCAACCATTACCAGGGCTTCCTTCAAGCTACATGTGCACTCTGTCACTGGGCTGTATACAGTCCCAGCTCTACTGTATAGTTTTTAAATTTTAAAATTTTAACTGAGCTCCATACCAGTTCTTTTTAATTCTTCTCCCAAAACTGAAAGTGGAGGTCAGACTCTCCCTTAGCCTCTCAGCCTTTTCCTTATTTGAGACACACACCCCCCCCAGGCATGAAGAAAGACATAGTTGTATCCAACTTCACATCATCTCTCTTTTTCTTGCCATTTTTTTGAGGGAGGGGTGGCTGGCTAGGAGTAGAGCCTCCTCACTGCCTCAGTTTCCTAGCTAACCACGAAGAAGTGTGCCAAGGCAGAGTGCAGATGGACAGAGCTAGCAATAAGAGATGTGCTTCTTCATGCCCAGAGTACCAGGGCTTTAAAGTTTTGCACATAAAGCAACAAACCTTTAACAGTCACCCAAATTATGACTCATCTCCAGACAATTCGGGAGAGCCGCACGGATGAGTGAACGCGAACAGAGAACAATGCACACAGGAACTGATTGTGTGTGCCTCACAATAAGCGCCATGGGAGCTGAGAGAAGCGAGAGGCGTGTGGGCAGGAATGATGGCAGAGATTTCAGGCAGCAGGAGGTTGCAGAGTGAACGGGACCATGATAGGAAGCCACGAGAGCCATAGAAACAAGAGTCTACCCCTCTATGATTCCTGCCCTAGTAGAGCCATCCCTGGGGAGGCTTTATGCTGGATTTGGATGAGGCCAACCCCCCCCCCCACCAAATAGCTGTATTAGTTACTTTCATTGCTATGACAAAATACTAAACAAAACTCAACAGCTCAAGGATGCAGGCTGTCATGGCGGGGAAATCATGGAGGAGGATGTGTGGGGAAGCTGGTCCCAGCAAGTCCAGAATCAGGAAACAGAGAGAGAGGAACAGTGATGTTCAGCTGTAGTTTTTATTAAACTCAGGACCTCAGCCCATGGAATAGTGCCACCCACAATTAGAATGGACTTCCTACCTCAATTAACCCAACGCAGAAACTCCCTTACAGACATACCCAGAGTCTAGATCTTGTCAAGCTCAACCTATGTTAACCACACAGTGGCTAGGACAAAATGTGGAATGCTATCACTCAGGAGACCATGTCCTAGCTAGAGGGGGTGGGATTTTCTCTGCCTTTGTTGTTACACCACAACAGCTTAGTCACCAAGCACAGGGAGATATTAGCAGGCACAGGTTGTACTAGAAAAACTGTCTATGCTCTCAGCACACGGTCCCTGAGAAGGCCCATCTTGTTACAAATGTGAGACCTTCCGGTTTCTTTGCCGTGTTAACTTAGTCACCATGACTCAGTTTAGCTCAGCACGTTGGGTGGACCCGGAAGCAAGATGACCTGGGTTCAAAACAGGACTCCATCACTCCACTGTTATCTTTGTCTGCAGGTACCTGACCACTGGCTGCCTTGTTTTCCCCATTAGTGAAGATGGTGATAGTAGTAGTTCCTTGCCTTCCTCTGAAGATTTCTGAAGCAGTATCGGCAATGTCTTCACTTCTGTTCCTTTCCTGTCCTGGCTCTTGGCTCTCCCCCACTGCTGTGCTTCAGCCTCTTCTGGGGTTTGTTCCTGCAGTCCTCTATCCTCTGACATGTCCATCTACCTGGCTATCTGCTCATCTCTCAATTCTATCTATCTGAGATGGCACTCCTCTGAGCTATCCTCGAGCCTCCTAGCAATCAGAGCTCAGCCTGTCTTGTGATTCCTGAGGAAAAAGTCACTTTGGGTCAGTTCTGGGCTGCTTGCCCACAGGCTGAAGGTACCTTAAGGCAGGGCCCTGTTTATGGATTTGCCTACATAGCATCAGTTCCTAGCTGAGCACTCGGTGAATACACTGGGTGCCAAGAAAGAGCTGGTGAAAGCGATGAATTAACAAAGGCAGGAAGGAGGAGCCCAGAGGACAGGGTGAGCTGAGCTACAGCTCAGGATGGCTTCAGGATTTGGCCTATATCCAGCCGCAGCTGGAGACACCCGTGACTCTTAACTAGGTGGGGGTGGGGTGGGTGGTGAAAGATCCAGGCAGCCCCTCCCAACCCCCCCCTTCTCCCAGTCAAGTCCAGCTCAATAACCAAATTCCCAACTGCCCCGGAAGGTCTGACAACTAAGATCCCTAATTTAGCTGAAAAGTTTCTCTTCTGGGTTTCCTTAAGTCAGGGTACTGAGGCTTTTATTCATCAAAATATGATTCTCGGGAGCTTAACCCATCAAAAGCTACCCAGGGAAGAAAGATGTCTCCACCCCGCTCGGTTGTTAATACACCATGAACTGCTTGCTCTTTGCCTGGGGTAAGCGATTGGTGCAATCGATATTAATGAGTAAATGATTGCCAGCCATTCTCCCCGCTCCTAATCAGCCACCAGACTGAGGAAAACAGCCTCCCTCTGAAAGATTCTACAGCGGGTGGGCTGCTGGAATGTATTCAGATGGAATCCGGTGGCAGCGGCTGCTACAGTTGTTGCGCAAACTTCCGGAAAAAGGGAAAGGCGCAGCTTGTCCCTTCTTGAGCCAACAGATTTAAAACATGAACCCAACTGAGAGCAATTTACACACCACACACACACACACACACACGCACACACGCACACACGCACGCACGCACGCACGCACGCACACTGAGAGGGGGGTCAGTGTAACAAGAATTTAGTAACCATGTAACCATGCTTGGGTCTTCAACACAGGAAATTGTAGCTGCGGCTCATGGTAAGTCAAGGCTCATTTTGAAGCTTTGTGTAGAAGTGATAAGGTAGGGTCACTAAATCTCAGAGGTCTAGCTGTTCCCTGATAGTGTCCTCACTAAGGGGTCCTCACACATCCATGAAAAACTAAGGGACGTTTAAGTTTCTTAGCTGGACTTTTATCTAATAAGTGCTCAGAGAAAATACGTTTTGTCCTAGATAGTTTTTTGCCAACTTGATACAAGCTAAAGTCATCTGAGAGGAGGGAGCCTCAACTGAGAAAAATGCCTCCACAACATCCAGCTGTAGGGCATTTTCTTAATTAATGATTGATGCAGAAGGACCCTGTCCATTGTGGGTGGGGCCATCCCTGAGCTAGTGGTCCCAGGTTCATAAGAAAGCAGGTTGAGCAAGTCAAAGGAGTAAGCCAGTAAGCAGGACCCTTCCATGGCCTCTGCATCAATTCTTGCCTCCAGGTTCCTGCCCTGTTTGAGTTCCTGACCTTACTTCCTTCTATGATAGTCTATGGTGTAGAAGTGTAAGCCAGATAAACCCTTTGCTCTCCTAGTTTGGTCATGGTTTTTCATCACAGCAATAGTAACCCTGACTAAGACGTGTGCCATGTTTCCATCCCCCTTTCTGCACAGGGACCCAGCATAGTCTATGTTAGTTTCTGAATTCCGAAAGATGGGTGGCTTGGTGGAAAAGCACATGTGAGACTCTGGGTGTGATTCCCCAGCACTGAAAAACAAAAACAAAACCTCTGCTATTATAAGTAATAAGGCCCTCAATCCCCTTGACTTAAGTATAATACCATTAGTTCTTTTTCAGGTTTTGTTTTCTGTCTAGCTTTGGCTGTCCTGAAACTTTGTAGACCAGGTTGGCCTTAAACTCAGAGATGCACCCGCCTCCGCCTTCTGAATGCTGGGGTCAAGGGCGTGTGCACCACATCGGGCTAATTAATGATGGTGTGAGAGTAATGAACCAAATCTATGAAGCAAAGAGGACTGGTGATGGTGTCTGGCCAGCATCACCCTGCAGACCTTGCCCAGATAAGCTTTGTGGCTTCTGCCATTAGTCAACTGGTATCAGGACATACTGCCCTGACTCTCTAGGTCATGAGGTACCAGACCTTGGATCCCATTCCCTGCAGTGGCACCATCCTTATTGAAATCCATGGCACTAGTCCTAATGTTGTCCCTAAAAGACTTTCTCCACAATCCTTGCTCTTTAGGTGCTTCACTCCAGGTACCAAACCTGGATGTGGCCACGCCTGAGTCACTTGCCAGGCCACACCATCCACTAAGATATAAGGAGAATTCCTACCCAGAAGGAAGGGTTTCAGAGGCTGGGTAACCTCCAAATAGCTCACAACTTCTACTGTTGTAGTTGACCTGCATGGTAGAAAAGGCAAAAGCTTTGGTGAGCCTGGGAGAGGCTCAACTTGGAGATCACCTTCCTCTCTCTGGAAAAAGCAGGGGAAACATGACTGTTATTGAGGCTTCTACCTGAGGGCCTCTTCCCCGCTCAATTCAACCTCTTCCGTAACCAACAAAATATCTGTCTCTTGCTGAAGGGGCTATTCTACCTCTGGATTATATCACGCTTCTTTGAGATGAATTAGGTCATTTTGATGAATCTTGTCAAGGTCCCCAATGAGGAACAAAAAAGCTTTTGATTAAAGAGTTAACAAATATTTATTACTGACTGCTGGGCCTTGAAGGGACAGAGGGGACAAAGGCATGCCTGTGTCTCAGAGCAGAAGGTCCCATCTAGTGCCTGCTCTGTGGAGGTGGGAAGGTTTGCAGAGGTGTTTGAATGAAAAACGTCTCCCATAGTCTCAGGCATGTGAATCTTTGATACCCAGTTGGCATTGCTCTTTGGATCGGTTTAGGAGACATGGCCTTCCTGGAGAAAGAACATCATTGAGGGTGGAGATCCTAAAGCTTACTCAAGCCATTTCTAGTTTGTTCTCTCTGCTTTGTGATTGCAATTCATGATGTGAGCCCTCACCTTCCTGCTCACTCTGCCACTATGCACTCTAACCCTCTACAACCTAAGCCCAGATAAACTCTTCCTTCTTTAAGTTGCCTTGGTCTTGGTGTTTTATCACAGCGATAGAAAAAGAACTAACACCGGAGGTAAGTTGACTTAAGTTGACATGAATCCGTTCTTAGCCATTGAGAGGAAGAGGAGACAGTTCCAGAGAGAAGGGATGGAGATGAGGAACCGTAAGTGATGAGTCATGTTTCTATTGCTGTGATACAACACCATGACTAGGCATCTTTTAAAGAGAGGATTTTTGAGGGGCTTATGGTTCCAGAGGGCTTAGGGTCATACTGATGAAGGCAGGTGATAGATAGACCTGGCAGCTGGGGCAGCAGCTGAGAACTCACATCTTGAACCATAAAGGGGAAGCAGAGCTAATGACTGGGAACCAGTGTGTGGCTTTTAAAACCCCAAAGCCTGTCCTCAGTAACATACTTTCTCCAGCAAGACCACACCTCCTAAACCTATCCAAACCGGGCCAACATCTGGCCACCGAGTATTCAAACCACCTCAGTGAGGAAACATGGTGGGTGGGAACAGAGTAGTTAGAAGACAGTGCGTGTGTGGTACACATGAAGCCAAGGATGGATTGCTGGTGAAAGTCTGAAGATCTTCGAACATTTTCCCGAGGAATGGATGCTGAGGTCTTTAGGTACCACCATGTAAGTAACATACCTAACAAAAGTTATCATTTTAGCTATGAGTAATGTACGTATATGTACGTGTGAGTATGCATTTGGAAGTCAGAGGTAGGCATCAGGTGTCACTTTTGAAAAAAAAAATATATATATATATATATATGAATGATAGAGTCTCCTTATTGATCCTGATGCTTACAGATTGGATAGCTAGTGAGCTCTGGGGATTTGCACCCCTCCCCAGCCACAGCACTGGGGTTGGAGATGCATGCCACAGTGCCCCCCTTTTTATGGGTGTGTTGGGTCCTTACAGGTAAGCAGCAAACACTTTACTCACTGAACCACCTCCACAGCCCCATCTGAACTATTTTAAAATGTATCAGTTCAGTGCTTTACCTGTATACACGTCATCCCCTTTCATCTCCATAAACTTTGAATTTTCCCAAACAAGAACTCTGTACCCTTCTCCCTCCCCACCCTCTGGAAGCTGCCATCCCACTTCCTGAGTTACAGGAAGCAAGAGAAACAAGTGGATGTAACTTCCTAGAAGGCTCTCTGGCTGTATCATAGAGGATGAGGTAAAGGTCCTGGGGTAGGAAGCAGGGTCAGAGTGAGCTGGGGTAGGAAGCAGAATGAGAGTGAGCTGGGGTAGGAAGCAGACTCAGTGAGCTGGGGTAGGAAGCAGGCTCAGTGAGCTGGGGTAGGAAGCAGGCTCAGTGAGCTGGGGTAGGAAGCAGGGTCAGAGAGAGCTGGGGTAGGAAGCAGAGTGAGAGTGAGCTGGGGTAGGAAGCAGGCTCAGTGAGCTGGGGTAGGAAGCAGGCTCAGTGAGCTGGGGTAGGAAGCAGATTGAGAGTGAGCTGGGGTAGGAAGCAGGGTCAGAGTGAGCTGGGGTAGGAAGCAGGCCCAGTGAGCTGCAGAGGAACAAGGAGGCGGCAGTGACAAAAACAGATGGGAAGGGAGGGGCAAAGGTATTTTATAGCTGTCAGTTAGATGCTGAAATTCAGAGATACTGATGGAACTAAAATGTCTTTTTTTTTTCTAATTCCTATACACTATTTTGACCCCCTAGCCACTTCTTGTGGGAGAAAGTGAGGAGATTATGATTTTTTTTTTGTTTTGTTTTTTCAAGACAGGGTTTCTCTGTATAGCCCTGGCTGTCCTGGAACTCACTCTGTAGACCAGGCTTGCCTCGAACTCGGAAATCCGCCTGTCTCTGCCTCCCAAGTGCTGGGATTAAAGGCGTGCACCACCACCACCCGGAGAGATTATGATCTTATAAAATTGATTTTTAAATAATTCACTATCACCTCACAATTATTTCAAAATTACAGGCCATTTGGTTGATGGCTTTCATCTTCAATATATGAATAAAAATATGTAGTTATATAATAACATTATTTATTTCTTATTAATATATAACATGTATATTTAGATTTACTGTATAATATATAATATGTTAAAATATAAGTATATAAACGTATATAAAATATTTATTAAATTTTATGTGTGTGTGTATGTATGTGTGTGTGTGTGTGTATAATTTATCTTAAAAGGTAGACAAAACTATTCTTGGGTGCTTCAAAACACATATACCACATCCCTTACGGGGCTCCCCACCCAGCGATACTCTAGCCTAGTCCTTTGCCAGCTTCTTCTCTTCTCTTCTCACTTGCTCTGGCCTTCCTTAGCAGCTGGGCCTTCTCTACCGTCACAATGCCAAATCCTATGGCTCCGGGGTTTTGTGACTGAGGCAGGAGGGATGGAATGAGCTGTCCTCAGAAGCACAGACACTTCTGATTTTCTTTACTCATGCTGGTCTCTCCCCAGAACCGGTTACACCTCCCAGACCCCTCCCCCTTCCCTTCTGTAGTTCAGGATGCTCTAGAGACTTTAATCATCCTGCCCTTCTTCAGGGCTCCCTCTGCTTGTGAGAGTCCTATGCTTGCTCATGTAATCAAACACGGTGTTTCTCCTGGTACTCCTTCTTACATCAACTTAATTTGTAACTCAGCCAAAGAACCTAGAAGGATGAGGGATGCCTTTCTTCCCTCCTTTACAGGTTTTGTTTTGCTTTGTAGGCAAATCTATAAGCTTGGACATGCATCTAATGGACTAATTGATTAGATTAGAGAATTAGATACTTGTCGAAGGGAAAAGCTTAAAAATGCTTTTAAAAACTTTCCCTTTGGCATTAAGCATCAGGTTCTATGAATGGACTCTGGCTGTGGTGCTTGAGATTCTGTATCGCTTATCATTACTGGTTATTTCTCAGTTCCTAGCAACTTCTGCTGTCATCAAGGGACAAATTGTTCACCAGGTGCCATGTAGGTCCTCCAGCTTAAGAGTAATGGTGTTTGTGCCTTTCCCGGTTCCTGATAGGGTGTTGGGTAAGTGCTAGCTACTCAGTAGCTACTAACATCAGGAATAGGTAACAAAAGTAAAGTTAGTCCATCAAGACCATCAACCTCAGAAACCTCAACTTGGTCCCTTCTCTGTTTCTCTGACCCCTTAATATAAAGAAATGAGACTCCATTAGCAACTGCCCATGAATAGGTCCCACTGGTATCTCCCTCAAGTCCTGTGGCTGATGGAGAGGAGGGTGGTCAACTGAATGGAGGGAAGGGAGCCTTGTCTCACATTGTCTGATGCAAAACTCTAAAACCAGACAGTATATGTGGGAAAATCCAAGCAAGAAAGAAATGACAAGCTTCAGTGTTCTCTGATGGGTGTTTCATGATTGGTGGGAGTTTTTATGTACACTTATGTTTGTTAGCAAGGAAGAATACTTCTGAGTGATATAGAATTGTTTTAGCCCTGGGTCTTTGTTTAGTTGGACTTGAACTCTCCTCACTGGAGTCCTTACTGCCCTGTTGCTAGAAGGTTCTTTCATAAGCATGCATTCCAGCCCCCTAGTAGTGGTGTAGAAACACACATATTTCCCTAAAGAAATCATTGAAGAATAACATTCAAGCTCCCTGAATGTTCCTCTGTTGTTCCAGATCCTTCCCTAGTACCCCAGATACTCTGTATCTGGATCCATAGCATAAAGGGATGGAGTAGGGGTGGAGGATCCAACTCTGCTCCTGTTGAGATCCTGAGTCTTGGGTGATTAAACATTTTGACTGACACTGTGCACGTGTGCGTGTACAGGTACACATATATGTACAGCGGCACTTGTGTATATACAACTGTGTAGGTGGAGGCCAGAAGAGGGTATTGTATGTTTAGGGGACACTCAGCTTAGTAGGTAGATGCTGGGGTCTGGAGTCTGGTCTTCATGATTATATAACAAATATTATTAACTACTCAGCCGTCTTTGTAGCCTCTGGTTGTTTGGTTGTTGTTGAGACAGAGGCAGGGGCAGGCATGGTTCTTGCTATATAGACCATGCTAGTCTCAAACTAGTAGTGAGCTTTCTCGCCTGGCTCTGATTCTGATTCCCCTGTGCAGAGCTCACAAGTGTGCAGCACCGTGCTTGCCTGTTCGTTATTGTTTATTTGGTTTTTGTTGTTGTCATTCTTAGATAATGGTCTCATGTAGCTTAGACGGGCCTTGAACTCACTGTATAGCCAAAGATGACCCTGACTTCCTGACTCTCCTTGTTATCACCTCCCCAAAATTGGGAATACCGGGAGTGTTCCACCACTCCTGGCTTTGCAGTGGTGAGTTGGGAATGCTGCTGAAGGCTGGTCTGTGGGGTGTGGCCGCAGGAGGTTGAGAAACTCACACAATAACACACGACGAAGCTCGATATCAGGTAGCTTCGCCTGCAGAGAGCTGGGAGCTTGTGGCAAACATTAGAGAACAATTAGGAAAGGGGAGGAAGCAGCCCCAGGCCCCCCCCCAGCCCCCAACCCCGTTTTAAACTCTTTCCATGGCTTTTTCTCTCCATGGAAGAGACTCAAAGGCCTTGTCCATAAGTCTCTCTTTTCCTGCAGGGGTCCTCCTGTCCTCAGCTCCTCCCCTGACCTCCCCTTCTCTGAGCTGTGCTTGTCTGCCTATCTATAACATTCTTCCTTCTTCTTCGCTACCACCATAGGCCTACTTATCTTTCAAACCCAAGGTTACCTCTTTATAACTCTCCCTTTACTTGGTCATGGCTGCTCATGCCTGTAGTCCCAGCACTTGGGAGGCCGAGGCCCCGGGATCGCTATGAATTTAGGATCAATCTGGACTACATAATGACTTCAGTGCCAGCCTGGACTGGTTAGAGAGCTGGAAGGACCACATAAATAGAGAACCAGAGAGCCCATTGCAGGTTAGTGGCACAGCAGAGGGTTGAACTCAGATCTTCAGTCTTCCCTGTACGGAGTCCTGCTCCAGTTCTTAAACTGTGTATGCAATGCAAACCCACTGGGAGAAGCCATCTTTTGGTCAGTTAAAACTAAAGTGGGTCACAATACTAAGGACAAAGAATTCAAACTCTCTGGTAAAACCCAGAAAATCAGGGGTATCTGAGACCTGTCACGCAGGTTTCTATTATAGACGGGTAAAGTTCTCAAAGCAAACAATTTGTCTGTAGAGCACTGCTCTTTCCCTGAAGTCACCGTCACAGAGTGAACTGTTTCAGGCCCCCTTCTGTTCTGTCTCAAAGTCACCCTTGGATGTCATCGATCCCATCAACGTTCTTGGCAGGCTGCAGCTGGTCTAGACTGCGGAGACAGCAAGATTGGTAGGTTAAAGACCCTGCTCATTGGGGGGGGGGAGGGAGGAGGTGACTCTGTCTGGGCATAAAGTGTTCCCATGTAAAAATAGCCAGTCAGAGCAGAACATATTTGTACTGCAGCATTATTGGAGGGGCAGACAGGTGGATCCCAGGGGCTAGCTGGCAAACCACTCTACTGAAACAGGGCTCTGAGTTCAACGAGAGACCCTCTGTCAAAAGAGTAAGGTGGAAATGAAGATACTTGTAGCAGGATATTTATTCTGCTACATTGTATTCGAAGTGGAGCTCAGTAATTAGGCCTAGAAGAGGAGGTGGACCTGGGAGAAGAAGAGAGGAAGGGGAGGGGAAGAAGGAGGCTATCAGCCATGGAGAACCACAGATGGGTCGAAAGCTGTCCTAGGTTGCAACTTCTATCAAAAGGTTAGATATTGGGTAACAACTCTAATTGTGTGGGCATCTTGTTGACTGAGCATTTCTAAATATATAAATCCTTTAGATAATCATTAAGCTTTAAGAGTCTCATTTCTTCCAGGTACTGAGAGGATGGCAGATATTGTCTGGGGTTCAGCCGAGCTTTGTGGATGCAGCATGGGGGACTGGCAGATCATCTAGCTAGCCAGAGCCCCAGTCAGAGCCAAGGAGCAGCAGCAGCGGGAACATGGTGGCTGCCCAGGAACAAGCCAGACTGGGTGCCGTTTTCTAAATATCCCCCAACAGATACCAAACATCAAAACATCGTCTGGTCTCCAAGTATGCACACACACACACACACACACACACACACACACACACACACACTGGGCTTTCTTGCAGTGTTCTGGGTCTTGTGATTAGATGCATTTGCATGGTCTGATGTAAGGGCAGAGTGGCTGAAGCTTGGGCAAGTGGTCTCCAGGTACCAGCTTTGGTACCAACATTGTGACTGTATCTTCTTGTTTCATTCCTTTCCCATCACCCCAGGGTACCGTCTTTATAGTCAGGAACTAGAAGTCTACAGCAGCCTCTTATCTGCTATGTGGGATGCTTGGAATGAGACCCAAGCACTCACTCTGATACCTTGTAGGTGTGGTTCGTGGCCTTTGCCCAGGCTTGGGGTCAGACTGCCTGCTTCTGGTTATGACCTTCAGAAGATCACTTGCCCTCTCTGAGCCTCTGTGTATGTTTTTGTTTCTTAGACTATTGCTGTGTAGTTCAGGCTAACCTTGAACTTCCTCTTGGGTGAGAGCTTTTAGGTACAAGCTGCTCTGTCTAGCTCTTGAGCCTTTGAGAAATCATTGTAAATTTATGCTGCTGGCTATGATACTCACACCCCATACCCCCCCACCCCTTGGGAGGAGAACACACATGCTAAATTCCCAGAGTGCCTTGGAGGACAGGTGTTGGAGGCCTGCACAGCTTCCATAAGAACTTTGGGCTATCCTTGCTGACCCTCCACACTCAAGGGAACCAGCTGGGCAAACACTGAAGATGGTTGTCTCTTGGTAGCATGTCCAGGGCCCCATAACCGTGTGGGATGAAGAACAGACTGCAGTGAGTGTGGGAGCCAAGAACAGCTGTAGCCCCGACCCTGTCACGAACTTCACCTGTGGCTCCGGGTGAGCTCAGCAGCCACTTTTTCCACACCTAAATTCCTCACCTGGAAAGCAGACTCATCTCCCAGGGCTCCTGCCAAGAGAAAATGAGCTAACACCTTTGAGGTGTCTATTGTCCTGGAACTTGGCAAACACAGGGTAAATATTAGTGATGACTTGGCAGGGCCCAGGAGAGCTTTGTCCTCTCACATCCTCCCCAGGTCTGAACAGCAAGAAAAGGCTTGCTGTGTATCCTATCACTCTCTGACTCCTCGATATCAGGCACCCGCTTTTCCATGTACTCAAGTGTTCTGGGCTTGGGAAGTGGTACTGGGCCAGGCATCCTTCTGCTGTATTTTGACTTAAAGTTACTTTGGGAGCTGTGTGACTATTGATGAGGGTGGTTTAAGGCAGCAAGAAGGGTGACAATCACTGCTTGGTTTAGATCATGTCCTTAATGGAGGATGGATGCATACCAGCTAGCAGGAAGTGGGATTAGAGCCATTTGAATATCTGATTTCCATACTTTTCGATAAAGTAAAGAATCATCTATATGAGGGTTTACCAAGAAGATGCCTCCGCAGAACTGAGCTGACTGAAAAGCCCTCAGCTGCCCATCCTCTGAGACTTAGCAATCTTTGAGTCCTGTAGCAACACCTACCAGAAATCTGCATCCCTTCCCAGTAGCCAGTTGGAGGCAGACTCTGAACAATTTTGTTTGTTGTTTTGAGACAGGGTTTCTCTGTGTAGCCCTGAAACTCACTCTGTAGACCAGGCTGGCCTTGAACTCAGAGATCTGCTTGCCTCTGCCTTCCAAGTGTTGGGATTAAAGGTGTGTAGCACCACTGTTCGGCTTTTTATCATGAAGTCATTTATGTCTTACCTTTCTGTTTTGCCTTTTAAGACACACAAACATACACAAATATACGGAGAGGAAAACTGGCAGATGGGATATGTACATAATAAGCATCTCCCTCTGAAAGCGGCTCCCTCACCTGGTTCCATCCCAGGAGGACAGCCTTCCTGAGTCACTGAGCTAGCTTTTCATCACCCCCTGGTCCACCGATGAGGGACCTGAAGTCTGAAATCAAACAGGAGCACTGTGAAGAGAAGTAAGCCGGAAGAGATTTAGAATCATGGTTCAAATCCTGCTCCAACGGTTTCCCTCTGAGTGTGTAAGGGTCAAGACCGTGGTATAGTGCCTCAGAAGTCCACAGCTGAGCCTCTTTGAGCCATGAGTGAAGTTGAGAGAACTCAACAGACCCCACCTGAGCTACAGAAACAGCTGCTCTCCGGTTGCCGGGCGGGAGTGGCAGATGTGGTTCTACAAAGATGAGACTCGGCTCCATCCTCAACAGCCTCTTCTGCAGCCGTGAGTATGAGGCTGGGGGAGGAGATTTGCCCAAGATGGTGAAAACAGTTTGTGGAATTAGCTGTAAGGTGCACTGAAATCTGTTCTGCGGGATACCTGGCATCATCTAGATGCTAGGCGCAGGAGAGGACTGCAAGGAGCCCCTCCCACACTGGGAGCTTTTCTATTTTAGGGTGCAGTGAGGAGGCTGAGAGACAAGGACAGAGCTCCCACAGACAGGGACCTGTTTACTTTTTTTTCCATCTCACTCTAGGGCTCAGTGAGATAACTAGGTACTTAGTGAACTTAGCTGACGGTGAACTGAAGTGTACAAAATAGGAGATTCTGGGGACAGTCTGTTACAGTATAGAACAGCTTCAAAATCACAGAGTGGGATGACAGCTCTCCCCTCCCCCACTGCTCTATCTCTATGGTGGCCATTACCAGCACCAGTCAAGGTCAAACATGGTCAATCAAACAGCACTACTTCAGAGACCAGCATAGCTACATTTTAGGTGAATACCACTGCATGGAGATCTTTTGTATTTCAGATCCATTTCTGTTATGGCACAAACATGATAAAAAAAAAAAAAAAAACCTTGAATACATTCTTTTTTTTTTTAAAAGTTTTATTTATTTTATGTATATGAGTACACTGTAGCTGTCTTCAGACACACCAGAAGAGAGTATCAGATCCTGTTACAGATGATTGTGAGCCACCATGAGGTTGCTCGGAATTGAACTCAGGACATTTAGGAAGAGCAGTCAGTGCTCTTAACCACTGACCCATCTCTCCAGCCCCCTTTGAATACATTCTTAAGAAGGACAAATCGTCTTGTTGCCTAGAACTGATTTAATTTTTCATCCCCCCCCCAGTCTTCATTTCCATGCCTAGCGATTTAACTCAGCAGTGATTACTGTGAACATGTAATTTTGTATTCTGTTTGCAATGCCTTCTCTCCCCCTTTTTCTTTTTTAAAATAAAGCATTTGTTCTTTCATATAGATGTGGTGCTCGGGGCCAATCTTTGTTGGCACATCAGTTTTCCGCCTAGCAGCTTAGCAGTGAAAAGACAATGGGAGATGTTTTCATGGCTTCTCCCAGGTGTCTGAGAAAGGCTTTGTGTTCCCGAGCGAGCGCTACAGACTGAGGAGTTAGCACAAGAACAGAACAGAATAGACTTTTCACACAGATTATTTGTATTGTTATCTAAACGGGGCATTTTGTTTGTATGGGAGGAAAACTCCCGTGGAAATCAAGTGCACACAAGTGTCAGTGTTGACAGCCGGAGCGAGCGAGCAACCAATACTTGAATTTGGAGACTGTCATTTGCTATCCCTGTGACCTTGGGCTGCTTACCAAATTCTTTGTTCCTCAGTTTCCATCTCCTGGGGAGTGACAGGAACATATGAGTTAGTCTTTCTGTGATTTCGTTTAACTAACATAATGTTCCCTGCATGATATTTTTTTTTTTTGAAGATTTATTTTGCCTGCTATTTTGCTTGCTTGTAAGTATGTGCACCATGTGCATGCTTAGTGGCCTCAGAGGTCGGAAGAGGGCATTGGATACCCTGGAACTAGTTATGTATGGTTTAAGAGCTACTATATAGGTTTTGAGAATCAAATGTGGGTGCTCTACTATAATATGTCCCTGTCTAAATCAACTAATATTTATATTGTAGGAATTCGGTTAAACTCAAAAATTAACTGCCCTAGGACACATCCTGGGAGGAGCACATTTCTTAGAGGCCACCTACTGGATTAACATTCAGAGGAAGAAGAGAAAAGCAGACTAACATTCCTCGGACCACAGGGGAGGGAGAAAGGCCCAGAGCAGGACAGACCAATCCTTGCCACTTACAGACAAGGGAGATCCTTGCCACCTCATTCCTCAAAGACCAATCAGTTTAAAAGTCACACTGTTCCGCCAATCCTATTGTGCCTAGTCACTGTCCATCCCTTAAGCTGTATAAATATTGCTCTTAGCTCCAACTCAGGGTTCTCTTCTTGCTTGCATGCCAGAGAACCCCAGTGCACTGGTTCATTAAACCTCATGTTACTGCAGCGAGTCCTGTCCATGTGTGTTTCTATGGGAGCGGGTCCCCTAGTTTTGGATCTTAGAATCCAACAATACCAGTGAAGACATGAGGGGCATAGACTGAGATGAAAACCTCTAGCTCAGTGAGTTAACTTTATTTCCTTAACTATATACAAAATATTTATTTATAAGCCCGATTCTACAAGTAATCTGCTAGCTCTAGAAATCTCTATCTGTGTCATATTTCTTTCTCCAGAGCTCTTCCAAACCTGAGGCTCCTTATATCTCTTCCTATAATAACTGTTTTACCTGTGTCCTGCTTCTCTGTTCCTGCAAACCCCCAGACAGAATCCCTATCTCTTACCTGGAATTCCTTCCATGAAGGATCTTCCAAACCAAAAGCAGGGGGTGGGGGTGGGGGAGGAAACTCTCAAAGGTCCAGCTGCTTATCAAAGAAGTCTCTAGCTCCTCCCATAAACTCTTGGCAGGGTGAACCACGCCTCCTTCATGGGGTGGGGGCTCCAAGCCAAGTCAGTAGGGGCCAAACCATTTCACCTTTAGGGTGGGGGTAGTTCGAGGCCATCCA